GTCCCAGCATCCCCTGGTACCCGCCCTCGTAGCCCCCGTATCACACTCCTGCCTGCAGGGGATTGTGGGTAACGTGTCCCAGCATCCCCCGGGAGCTGCTCTCTTAGCCCCTGTATCACACTCCTGCCTGCAGGGGATTGTGGGTAACATGTCCCAGCATCACCCGGTACCCGCCCTTGTAGCCCCCGTATCACACTCCTGCCTGCAGGGGATTGTGGGTAACATGTTCCAGTCTTCCCTGGGAGCAGCCTTGCCTGTCTGACCCCTCCCTCCCCCCCCAGCATCAGCGAGCAGAAGGCCGTGGAGACGGCACCGCCCAGGCAGGGGGCGGGGGCCGGGCAGAGCCGCCGGCACCTGCTGGGTGTGGTGGAGCAGCCGCCGAAGGAGGAGCCGAGGGAGCTGCGGGAGGAGCTGGCCCCCGCCAGCGTGGGCAAGACCAGGTTCAGGTAAGGGCATGGGGCTCCCCCACCCCCGCAGCTCCTCATAGCCGCCGGTGACGCTGCTCTCTGCTCCCCCAGGAACCTCACGGCCGCCCTCTCCGGCATGAAGGACTTGATGCTGCGGGACCTGGACAAGCTGTTCCTGGCCTCCGACTGCCGCCACTTCAACCGCACGGAGTCGCTCCGGTGGGTTCCCCAGGGCCCCCGGCAGGGACTGTGCATAACGTATCCCACAATCCCCTGGGGGCTCCCAACGTATGCCAATGGGCAGGACCCCCCCGTGTAAGGGATTGTGGGTAACATCTCCCAGAAGCCCCTGCAAACTGTCCTTGGACGGGCAGTAGCAGAGCTGCTGCAGTGAGGAATTATGGGTAACGTATCCCAGAATTCCTCTGGGGAGCAGCCCCTTTAGTCCTGTGCACACATGAATGGAGCCCTGGCTGTGAGGCATTGTGGGTAACCTATCCCACAATCCCCCTGGGCACCGCCCCCGAGTCCCGCTTTAACCCTTCCCCTCCCGCTCTGCCCCCCAGGCTGGCGGACGAGCTCAGCGGCTGGGTGCGTCGGCACCAGATCAACCGCAGGAAGCCCCTGCAGTCCCGCAAGCCACGCACCAATCAGGTGAGGCCGGAGGGGCGGGGCAAGCCGGGGTGGCTCCACCCACTGAGGGAGGAGCCAAGTCTGTCTGTGTCTGGACTGCAGGGAGAGGGGGCTGGGAGCTGCCCGGGCCACAGGGCATTACCCAGAATCCTGGGTGGTTTTACCCACAATCCTCTGGGGGTGCCAAGTGCTGGGCTGTTGCGGGGGTTCCCCGGTGCCCCCCACTGACCTTCTTCCCCATCTCGGTCACAGGAGTCGCCCCAGAGGAAGGTGCCCAGCCCGTCGCGATACGTCCCAGCTAGCCCCCCCGAACGCCCAGAGAGGTAAGGGGCCCCCGGTCTCCCCAAAGCCAGCCAAGCCTCGCCCTGTGCCCGGATCGGGGCCGGCGTCCCCCACAGGGACAGGCCCTGTTCCCTGACGCCCGTCTCCGCTTTCAGGGACTCGCTGAGCGAGCTGCAGGTCTACCAGCGCCCCGACCGCACGGAGCACCACTTCATGGACGCCATCGACCGGCGGGAGGACACGTTCTACGTGGTCTCCTTCCGTAGGGTGAGCTGGGGAGCTGTGCCGCGGGGGCTCCCCCTGGGCAGTCAGGACTCCCCATTGCCCCAGGGCAGCGCCAGGGGCTGGGCTGCAGGGAGCTGAGCGGGGGGCAGCAGGGGGCTCTGCCCAGGCAGTCAGGGCTCCCCATTGCCCCAGGGCGGCGCTAGGGGCTGTGCTGCAGGGAGTGGGGCAGGGACAGCGGGGGCAGTGGGGGCGCTCTCTGCGTGTCTGTCTCTCATTCTGGTCTGTCTGTCTCCTGGCCCCAGGATCACCTGCTGCTCCCGGCCATCAGCCACAACAAAACCACCCGGCCCAAGATGTCGCTGGTGATGCCAGCCATGGCGCTGAATGGTACGGTCCTGGCTCCCTGTGCTTCGGAACCGCGATAACTGGCCCCCACGCCCCGCCCCAGAGCCAGCCGCCTCCTGGCGCTGGGCGAGGGGTCCCCGTATCACCAGCCCCGCCCCAGAGCCAGCCACATCCCAGCGCCGGGCGAGGGGTCCCTGTATCCCCCGCCCCAGAGCCCGCCGCATCCCAGCACCGGGCGAGGTGTCCCCGTATCACCCGCCCCACCCCAGAGCCAGCCGCATCCCAGCGCTGGGAGAGGGGTCCCCGTATCACCCGCCCCTCCCCAGAGCCAGCCTCTCCCCGGCGCCGGGTCCCCGTATCACCCGACCCGCCCCAGAGCCAGCCGCGTCCCGGCACCGGGCTGACCCCTGTCTCTCCCCAGAGAGCCTGTACAACGCGTCGCGGGGCTTCGAGGTGATGATGCAGATCGACTGCGAGGTGATGGACACACGGGTGATCCACATCAAGAGCTCCACGGTGCCGCCCTCCCTGCGGCGCCCCCCGGCGCCCGACAACCGCACCCAGGCGCCCTCAGTGCAGCCCCGCCCGGGCCGAGGCCCCCTGCGCTCCGCCCGGCGCCCCCGCACCTTCTACCTCGGGGAGCAGGGTGAGGGCTAGCCACGCCCCTTGGCAAAGCCATGCCCACCCAAGCTAGCCACGCCCACTCGGGACTGGCCACGCCCCTTGGCAAGAGCCACGCCCGCCCGGGGCTAGCCATGCCCCTTGGTGACAGACATGCCCATCTGGGCCTCGTCTTGCCCCCTGATATGCCATTTTGGCAATGGCCACGCCCCTATGTGGCTAGCCCCGCCCCTATCGGTAACAGCCCTGCCTATGTCGAGGCTCATCCTGCCCCTTTGTGGATAGCTCCTCCCACCTGAGCAGCACTAACCCCGCCCCTTTAAGAGAACCCCTCCTCCCCGATGATCCTAGCCCCGCCCCCTCAGGCACTGCCCCTTCCCCCATGGGTGAGGGCTGGCCCTGCCCCTTAGCGACCACCCCTCCCACATGAGGCAGCACTTAGCCCCGCCTCCAGCCTAGGCGGGCTGGGGAACAGAGCTTGGACCCCCCCTTCCTTGGGGTGACCCCCCCTGTGCTAGGACCTGGCCCCCATTCCCGTGGGGGGGTGATCCTGCCCCCCCACCCCCGTACTGCACTATCTTCCCCTGTGGATATTTATAGACTGGGGGGGCATGATGAGGGACCGGGGGGGCTCCCCTCCACAGGGCCCCCCCCCCTTTTGTGGATCCCCCCAGCCGGATCCTGCCCCGGGGGCTTTTTTACATCTATAAATAAAAGCGAGAGGTGACTGAACCGCCTGGCTCCTGTCCTGTGGGGGGGCCCCAGTCTGGGCAGGTGGGGGAGGGTGACCCCACACCTAGCGCCGCCCTGGGGCATGGGGGCAGCCCGGCTGGCTGGGGTGACCCGCGCGTGGGCCGGGCTCTGGCCCTGCCGGTCGCTCTGGGGAGGGGTCCGTGCGGGGGCAGGGTGCTCCCGGGCTGGGGGGCAGGAAGGGGGCGGGTCCCTCCCTGCATTGTGGGTCAGGAAGCTCTGGACAATGGCCGGGCGGGGGCCGGGCTCGGGGCTGGGGGGCTCCATGCTCAGCGATGGGGCCGCTGCTGCTGCTGCTGCTGCCGCTGGCCCGAGGTACGGGGGGGAGATCCGGGGGGGAGCAGGCTGGGGAGTGGGAGGCCCCCCCGGGAGCCCCCTGATTTATCTGGGCACCTGCTGCCTGGGGGTGGGCATGGCTGGCACTGTGTGCGTGTGTGTGTCTTTGTGTGTGTGTGTACCCGGCTGGCACCGTGTGTGTGTGAGTGTGTGTGTGTCCAGCTGGCACCATGTGTGTGTCTGTGTGTGTGTGAACCTGGCTGGCATCGTGTGTGTGTGTGTGTGTGAACCCGGCTGGCACCGTGTATGTGTCCCTGGCTGGCACCGTGTGTGTGTGTGTGTGTGTGTATGCGGCTGGCACTGTGTGTGTGTGTGTGTGTACCTGGCTGGCACCGTGTGTGTGTGTCTGTGCGTACCCGGCTGGCACCGTGTGTGTGAACCCGGCTGGCACCGTGTGTGTGTGTGTGTGTGTACCTGGCTGGCACCGCATGTGTAGTGGGGGTGATCGTTCCCCCCCCCCCCGACTGATTCCCACGCTCAGCGCTCCCCCCCTCCCGGAACCCCTCCCCGAGGTCCGGATGCCGCCGGGACAGTCAGAGTCGGGAACAACAGGAAAACAACAGGAACAGGGGGCAGGACGCGGGGGGGCAGGATGTGGGGGGACTTGGGGGGGAGTGGGGGTGGATTAATAAAGAATTAAAAGGCTGCAGGGGGGGGATAATTGGTGCCCGTTCATTAGCGGGGGGGTGGAATCGGTGCCCAGTAGCGACAGGGCAGGGGGTGCCCGCGCGCCCGCCTGCAATTATTGCCGATTAGTGAATGCAAATGAAAGAATTGATGGGTGGGAATTTAATTGCACGGGGGGGGGAGGGAATTAATGGCAATGAAGGAACCGAGGTTAATTAACGGGCAGAGGGAGCCGGTGCCAAGGCGGGCGAGGGAGGGGAGAACAAACGCCAGGTAACGGGTGCCAGGGGCAGCAAGGGGGGGGGGCGTAATTAGTGCTGTTTAATTAAGGGGGGGGCGGAGTGGCCAGTGTGTCAGGATTCCTGGGTTCTCTCCCCGGCTCTGGCAGGGGAGGGGGGTCTGGTGGGTTAGAGCCGGGGGGAGGGGCTGGGAGCCAGGACTCCTGGGTTCCATCCCCAGCTCTGCCACTGCCATGCTGGGTGACCTTGGCCAAGTCCCTTTCCCCGCCCCATGCCTCAGTTTCCCCATCTGGGCAATGGGGATTAAGATGCTGACCTCCTTTGTACAGCTCCGAGCGCCTTATAATGCAGGTGGGGCTCATTCTCCCCAGTGTCCAGGTGGGGAAACCGAGGCACCGAGGAGTGACTTGGCCAGTGGCTGAGTCCGGGGGTCCCGGAAGCCAGCCCTCCTTGAGTTGTTATAGTGCGGGTCTAATGCTGGGTCATGGTACTCCTGCCCCCCCCCCCCCCCCCCGCCCTGTCGGATGGTGGGAGCTGCCACCTCGAGGGCCCGAAACCCGGGACGTCCGGGCTGATCCTGCGCCCCTGTAGCCGGGCCGCTGGCCATGCGGTGAGCACCCGGGTGCCTTTCCCGGCTGCCCAGACGAGGGCGATCCTGGGAACACCCGGGCGGGTGGCATAAGGCAGCAGTGGGCACTGTGGCAAAGCAGGAGGGTTGTGAGGTAGCTCGTTGGGGTTTCTGGGGTTCTCCTGGCTTTTGAGGAGGTCCCAGGTGGGTGACGGACGCTGGAACCACGGGCTGGGGAGGGGGGCGGCACCTCGCTGGCGAAGGCCGTGTCCGGCGGTTAAACGCTGGCCTTGTCCTCACGTGGCCTCCCGGTTCTGCTGTCCTGGGACAGTCCCGAGTGTGGGGCCCTTGTCCCAGGATAAAGGGGCCTTTCGCCAGTGTGTGTGTGGGGGGGGGGAAGGCCCAGCGGTGGCCAGTCCTTGGGTGGCTTCAGGAGAAGAAATGGCACCAAGTCCTGTTTCCCAGGCGAGTTCCTGGCTACGAAATCCCCCACGCCTGCTCGCAGCCAGCCCTGTGCCCAAGGAGCTGGCGATGTATTGGGGGCCGTGTGTGTCTGTGTGGGGCAGGGCAGCGGGGGAAGTTCTCAGGCCTGGGCCGTACAGCAGGTCGGATTCGATGCGCTAATGGGCCCGCAGGGCCGTGACGGCTCAGGCTCCCCCGTCCCCCGGCTTTGGGACAGAAACGCAGAGACCTCGAAATGCAGATGCTGGGGGATGGGATGTGGGGGCAGGGCCATGGGGGCCGGGAAAGGCCCGTCTGGCTATTTCCAACCGCTCCTTTCGCTCAGGTAAAATCGTGTCGTGTCCGTGTGCTCAGGGGACGTCACTTCGCTTCCGTTTACACGGCCTAGTGACCACCACTGCTAGCGGCCACGTGAACGAGCCAGTGTCACATTACGCTGGACTGAGCTATTCGGTGCAATGCTAGTGAATGGTGCCCTAGTAAACAGAACCCCAGGGGTACGCTAGAGGGCGGTGTTATATAGACTGCTCATCAATCACTGAAATTCTTATACTGAATGGCATATACTAATATGAGAGCTAGTGTTTTAATATTGTATTATATATATATATACTGCTATATTAATATATTTAATTACATATATATAACATTAAATAAAATTATTATATACAGTGTATTGGAATATAGATCATCTTAACATTTGAAATATCTATAATCCAATATTGAAATTGCCTTAATGATATAGAATGACATGTATATGTATTATTGAAGATATGTTATTTTAAAATATTGAAGATACTATAATACTTAATATATGTTCTAATAAATATTAAATAGAATCACTATTATATAAGTATAATATATTAAAATGGTCAATATAATCTAATCTTAAAATTAATGATATATTTGACATTTCATATGATATAGTCATATCGAGATATCAATATTCAATAGAAGATCTATTGTGTTAATATTATAGGTATCTATTATGTTGAAGATTAAAATATTGAATATACTATTTGCTGTATATAATATTGTAATATATTTTATATATACAATTATATTTCAAATATGGTTCATATTAAATATATCTTATCACATATATTTACATTTGAATCACTCTCTAATATTTCAATAGTGCGTATAATAGATTTATGAACGTTAAGGTTATTTTCATGTTTTCGTATTCCATGTAGTATTATATTAAAATAATCCCGTGAACTCAGCTCCGTTCCGTGCTCTCGGCCCGGGGGGTGCAGTGTATGAAATCCGAACCCAGCCGACGCGACACGTTTGAACGCTGTATCCTCTGACGCGATGGATTTTCTGTCGCATTGTCAAGCTCCCCTGGGCTACGTCACACCCAATATTCCATCATTTCATCCCATCCAGAACTGGAAACCAAATTAACAGAAATGCTCGACCCCCCGCGGGCTGTTGCCCCCGTGCCTGGGTTCTCTGTGCCCATAGTGGGGCCGGCTGGTTCCGTCCCCATTGGGAGATCCCCCGGCTGGGGGGCAGCGCGGAGCCGTCCCTGTAGGGGACGGAGCTAAAGGGGGATTGGCTCCTTTATCCTGGGATAAGGGCGTCTGTACCGGGGGCTTATCCCGGGATAAGGACCCCTGGGCGAGGTACAGCCGGGGCTCTGGGGTAGGGGTGGAGGGCTGGGGAGATGGGGTCTCCATGTCAGAGGGTGTTCTGACCCCCCCCGTCCGTCTGTCCACCCCCCACCCAGGTCTGACCTGCGCCCGGGATCCCTGCGTGAACGGGGGCACCTGCCTGGCACACCCCAATGGGAGCCGCTCCTGCCTGTGAGTTGAGGGTAACCCAGGGGGAGGGAGCTGATTGGTGGGTTTTGGGGGGAGGGAAAATGGGGGGCTTAACTCCCTCCCCCCTCACCGGATTCCTGGGTTCTCTCTCCCCAGGTGCCCCCCCAGCTTTGTGGGGGAGTCGTGCCAGTTCCAGGACCCGTGCCGCCCCGAGCGCTGCCGGAATGGGGGCACCTGCTTTCCCCGGCTCTTCCACCCCTCGGCGCCCCCCACCTACACCTGCTCCTGCCCCCCAGGGTTCACCGGGGACGAGTGCCAGGGGGCCGTGGGCGACCCCTGCTTCCCCTCGCCCTGCCAGAAACGTGGCACCTGCCAGCGCCTGTCCAGCGCCCAGTACCGCTGCCTGTGCATGGAAGGATGGACAGGTAGGTGCCCGGACGCATGGGTTCTATCCCAGCTCTGGGAGGGGAGTGGGGACTGGTGGTTAGAGCAGGGGGGGCTGGGAGCCAGGACTCCTGGGTTCTCTCCCCAGCTCTGGGAGGGGAGTGGGGACTGGTGGTTACAGCAGGGGGGGCTGGGAGCCAGGACTCCTGGGTTCTCTCCCCGGCTCTCGGAGGGGAGTGGGGGCTGGTGGGTTAGAGCAGGGGGAGCTGGGAGCCAGGACTCCTGGGTTCTCTCCCCAGCTCTGGGAGGGGAGT